TCATTTGAATCACTCTCGTTTTGATCGATTGAATTCTTGATTCAAATTGACTGATTATCCTGATTGATAATCTGCTCGGTTTACATTTTTGAGCTTCATCGATTTGATACAATTTTTCTATCGTTCTTGAATCAATTTTGGGTATCAATTTTGTGTTCTGAATCAATTTTGTGTTCATCGCTTTCAAATGGTCGTACCATAGAACTCATACGAATTCGTTCTTATTTCTTAACTGATTGCATTTGATTACTCTTCTCACTTTCTCGATAATCTCTTCCTTCTTTCTTTTGGTTGATATCGATGAATGTTGAGTCGAAAGGCATGATTGTTTTTGAATCTAGTTTGGAAGTCAATGTAGATGAAAGAATTGAAGTCAATTTTGTTGATTTGGTTTGATGATTGACGAACTGGATGATTCGATTGATGATTTCAAAGGTTGATGAATTGGTATTGGTTTGAAAGTTGACTTTTTGGAGTCAAAGTTCGATCGATTGATGTTGGTATATTGCTTGGAATTGATGTTTACTGGTTGGTAATGTTGGAAGTCGATTGAACGAAAGATGTGAAATTGATTTGGGTTTGCTTTCGAAGGGCTGTACATGATTGTCGATTGATAACGAAGATTTTGAAATCGATTGGTATTGTCGACTGATGATTTGTGATTTCGATTTTGATTGTCGATGTTGGAGTCGATGGTTTGGGGATTAACAAACATTGACTTGGCTAAAGGAACTGGGAAGATGTTACTGAAAAACGAAGGTTGTGTTTTGAGTTGGAGTCAGTAATCGATGATTATTGATCATGATTTCGAAGGGTTGAATTGACTGGGAAGAGTCGTTGTTTGGAGTTTCGATTTGGGTGTATCACTCTGAATGTCGAACGAACAGTGCTTGTGTTATTTGATGACAAAATCATATTCCCTTGTTGGTCAATTTGTGGATGCCTTCGCTATGGGTCAATTGTTTGGAATCGTATATCTGATTTCGAAGGTTTTTGTTTGTTGATTGGACGAAGCCTTGAAGATTTTGATATCGATGGGTTGTTGATGCTTCGTTTACAAGGAGTTGATGACGAATTGTAGATGATCGAGTAACGAAAAGTTGAGGTTGAGTAGCGAAGCTATCTGCGTTTAATTTCGTTAGAATGGGAAGATGATAGAATATTTCGACATTGGTCCCTGTTGATTCTACAAAGTTGCATCTTTCACCCAATTTCGACATTTGGGACATATTTTCGACATTTTGGGACAAAAGGCAGAAATTTCGAAATCAGTCCCTGAAGTTTCAAAAATTTGGCTGTTCGTACCCAATTTCGAAATTGGACTGATTTTGCTGAAAGATTGAAGAAAATGCATTTTCGGCCCCTGCAGTTAATACGAATTGACGTTTTCTACCCAGTTTCGAAAAGGGGGAGAGTTTCGCATTTTTTGCTGTTTTGGGCGCACCGGGTCACTGCAGAATTTTGAAATTGACAATTTCTACCCATTTTTGAGAAATTTTGTCAAAGGCGGTCCGTGAACGAAGCTATAAATTGAAGATTTTTTGGGTTTTCCGGATTAAAGCACAAAGTATATGCCACATGTTAAGGGGGAGTTTTGACACAAAAAATTCTGAATAGAGCATGTTCTCTTTCCTTGATGGTTTTATAACCAAATTTCGATTATAAAAAGGGGGAGAAATTTATATGGAACTTCGAAAGTTGAATTTTTCATATTACGCGGACTTGAAGACCGAAGTGACCTCGAGTATTTGAAGTTTATGAAATGATTCGATTGGAGATTCGGAAGTGATTTCGGTTCGAGATGGGTTTGGAATTATTGAAGATTTTTGGGGTGTGTTTTTATGCTCAACTTTAGGGTGATTATTTGGAGTTTGAGAAGCTCTTGATCATTCGTTAATGCTCGGTTCGTATGGTCTCACATACTAGAACCCAAATTTGAAGAATCATGGAAGAATTGAAGATTTGAAGTTCATCTCTACGTGTGTCACGCTTGAGGCTCGGATCGCGTAGTTGCTCGATTTTGGAAGATTTGAAGTGGGTCATCCATTCCTAACTTTGAGGGGGAGAATGTTGGGTACAAAGTTATCCATGTATGACTTTGTAAATGGGTTGACTTTTGTAGACCCACTTGCATGTGGTGCATTAGCCTTGTGACATGAGATAGAGAGTGAGAGAGAGACATGTAAACACCTCTATATAAGGTGGGTTCATACCACTTATGGAGGTGTGCTTGAGAGATGTAAAATTGAGTGTGTAAGTGTGTGTTATTTATGTAGATTTAGATCTAGATCCCTTTTTGTAACACCATACATAATCGAATGCATCTCTTAAACACCGAAATCACCGTGTTCATTGTGTGTTCTTTAATTCCGCAAGCCAAACCAATGTTCATAATTCACATCACTCGACGAGTCCACTGTGGGACTCGACGAGTTGGGGCTACTCGAAGAGCCCCATTGCCTGACTCGACGATTCGGCTCGTCTATTGGCAGATTTTTCGGGATTTTGACCAGAATTGGATTAGGATCATTACCATAAACTGTTTTGACTGATAAAATTCAATTTTTCTGATATGGTAATGATTATCCTCATCTAATTGGAAGATAATGGTCAAAGTTTAAGATAATTACTAGATTATATGATAAACTAATTATTTGTAAATTTTGAATTGTAATTATCTTGCCAAATAAAATTGGATTAGGTCAAATTTAGATAATGGTAAATTTATTTGATTAATTTAATTATTTTAAATTTGATCTTGAAAGTTTTGAAAAGTTTCAAAACTTGCCCTCAAGTTTTGGAATTTAAAATTTGATTAAAAAATTTTGATTTTGAAATATTTAAATTCTAAACCCCTAGAGTTTTGAAAGTTTAAAATTCAAACCTTATACTATTGTAATATTAAAAGCTTAATACTTATATATATGTATAAGACGAGTCAGTCTTACCGTTAGTAGACCTCATTCACAAAGCTGGTCTATAAGGGGGGTATAAGGAAATTGCATATAAAATGGCGATTGAATGGGTGTCCACTCTCACCCACCGCTTCCTTGACCAGTGGAGGATCGTTAGCCGAACGGGTAGGATAGGACATAATTCTCTTATTAATAAGTATAATGATAATTGTAAAAGTAACTAAATGTTTTTCAAAATTTCCAATCTTAGTTACTTTAGGAAAAATGTGAAAATGGTGCTAATCCATGAAATTGCACTTTGCACCTTGCCAAGTCGTTAGTGGAGCGTGTGTGGTTAACCGACACACTAATTTGGACTAACAAGGGTGGCAAAGGGTAGCTCGAGAATTATCATAGATCAATGGAGCGTGTGTGGCTAACCGGCACGTTGATTAGGTGGTAAATGACATCGAGAGTATCACGCAAATTTGTATGGTTATTCACACATTGTTTGTGATCCTCGGTATCCCAATCACAAACTTGAAGGGCATAATCGAGATTAAAACATGCCATCGAGAGCACCTCGGCACTTTTGGTTTTTTGGATGTATGTAAAATGCAATGAAATAGATAGTTGATGCTATATTTACATTAGATGATTTTATTTTGAATTTTTGTTATTTTGAAAATTTTAAAAGCACGTGGAATGTTTTTTAATTTTTAATGTTTTTAACTTTTTTTTAATTTTTTTTAAAATTTTAGTTGATTTTAATCGGGCTCGATAGTATCGAGTATTTGATGAGTCGAGTGTGAGCTTCAAATTTAGGCTCAAGGCGAGCTCGAGTATTTTAGGTGAGTCGAGCTTCGAGCTTTGCACTACTCGGCTCGACTCGACTCGTTTACACCCCTGACCGATTTTCACACTTTGTACTATCCTGTGAAACACTCGGCTCGACTTGACTCGTTATACCCCTGACCGGTATTTGATGAGTCGAGTTTGAGCTTTAAATTTAGGTGTGTATGTGTGTAGGTGTGAGTGAGGGTTGGGGTGTGTGTGTGTGTGTGTGTGTTTGTGGGGGTGGGTGGGTGTCTGTTTATGTGTGCGTGTGTTTGTGGGTGTGGGTGTGTGTGTGTGTTTGTGGGTGTGGGTGTGTGTATTTGTGTGTGTGTGGGGGGGGGGGGGGGGGGGGGGTTGGGGTAGGTGTATGTTTGTGGGGGTGGGCTTGGAAGTGGGTGGGTGTGGGTGGGTGTGGGTAGGTATGGGTGTGGTGAGTTGGAAGTGTAGAGGTGGGGGTAGGTAGAGGTGGGAGTGAGTGTGTATTTATATTTTAGAAAAATGTGGAAAACAATAATTATTGGTTTTCCAAAAATTTCCAACTTTTTTGTAATTTTAGAAAATGGAAAATATTTTCATTTTCCGTGAAAAATTTAGAAAAATAGACGAACTAAACGCGTTTTCAAAATTCTCATTTTTCTTGGAAAATTTTTCCGGAAAACGGCTCATTTTTCCGCAACTAAAAGCACCCTAAATAATCCCGAATAACCAAAAAAGATCTTACATCGTGACGAAGCTATGAGTTTTGCTTGTTGATTTGTCTCATGAATCATAAAAATTTGTTAAAATCCGAAACAACAATCAAGTTTGGCAAAATACAAAAAAGTGTCAGAAACAACGGTTCTTTCAGACCTGATTTTGAACCGATCCTAACCAATTCTTACAGGTTCAGGTTCCGATATTTTGCTAAAAAAGATCCGATTTGATCAGTTTCATTTTGACTTTGTTGACCAAAACCGATCCCATCCGCCCTTTTCTACACAAAGCAGTGGCATTATCACACCAAAAACAAAAATCAAACTTGAAACTGATACGTTAATCCAATCTATCATCAGTGTTCAAGTAACAATATCATTCATATTCCAGTCTGCTATCAAAAAAGCATACCAAAATTTCACTTTAACATTCGAGCAATCATTATATTCCATCAATGATCAAGATCAAACCCACATACCAAATCATCAACAACATTATTCTACTCAACTCAAACTGTATCTATATTTCACATATACTAACACTAAACCTTCAAAAATCATCTCATCTTTTCAGTTTTCAGTGTACACCAACACTCCTTTCCAGCTTCCTGCGTTCATAATCAGCATCATCTGTCGGCAGTTCATGGCGGCAAACAGGGCAGGTGTTCCTAATCTCCAGCCATGGCACTATGCAATCACCATGGTAACGATGATTACAAGGTAGCAATTTCGCCATTTCTCCAACACTAATTTCATCTTTACATACAGCACAAAGGGTGGTATTGTTCTTTTCAATATCTTCTTCACTTATAACAACAGTTGAAAGATTCTCCACTGCTTTTTTGGAAGCAGGTGGTCGACCCAAAGATGAAACATCGCTATCGGCAAATTGCCCGAAGAACATTTCATATTCTGTGTAATTGTATTCATCGTACTCACCTGATACATCTGGATATTGTTCGAAGTTTTGAGCATTCAATAGAACTTCCCAATCCGATCCATCTCGATCTTCTTCTTCTTCTTGGTGTGATTCGTGATTTCTAGGAGGGATTCCTGGTAGAACAGATGCATCGTCGTCAGCTTCTGCACCAAAAAACATGCTTAATTCCCTTCCGTCGATTCGTTCGTGTTCATCCACTTCCTCCCAATCGAAATCTCCATTAATGTTGCTGTTTGGATTCGGTGTTGTGTTATCATCGTCTAGATGGAAAGAATCCCAGCAAAGGTGAAGACTAGTTTCGTCATCATAGTCTCTAACTCTATCCATGTCGGGACCATTCTCCACCTCGCCGCCGCCGGATTCGAAGGAATCGGACACTATATCAGTCACCGTCAACCCACCCATGAAAAATTCAGGAGCACCTGAATCGATAGATGAACGGCTGGATTCCGATCGACCGATTCTCCGTCTGGATACAAACATTTCGTCCCCGGTATCAGCAACCGTAAACCCAGAGTAATCATCATCGACGCCTCTACCACTAGGGTTATGGTTATCATCATGATTTTCTACATGAAACCCTAATTCTGACCCAAAATCCACCTCAAATTCATTCGAATTCCCATCTTCATTTCCTTCAACAACCCCCGAATTCCGATCAGACCGAACCAAGCGGTGGTTCTCTTCACTTAAACGCGACATAGAATGCAGTTGCTGTTGCGATTGCGATTGCTCAACGCGTTGATGGAACATGTCGATTACGAAATTTGCCTGGGTCTCTCGATCGAGAGATGAATTACGATCAAGACCGCATCTTCGGGCGCAAAAGAGATCTTCGGAGGAAGGGATGTCGAGATCTGGAGTGTAAACGTCGAATCCGTCAAGATCATCGGGCCATTGAGAAAAGGATACTAGAACGTCCTGCCCCTCGTCATTGTCGTCGTCGTCGCGGAAGTAGGAAACATCCGCCATTGATAAAGCTTTGTGGGTGTTGTGGTGTTTCAGGCGAGGGGGGAATGGAATTTGTAGTTGGTAATAAGATATTTGCTGGACAGGGGATTTTGCACATTTGGAAGACTCATGAACCATGAGTTTAATTTACAATTTCTAATTTTAATTTTAATATTAATCTGGTCAATCTATTTTTAGTATTTTTATTATATTAAATCATTTTAATATTTCTTTTATCAAGAAACGGTATTTTTTTTTATTAATATTAAGGATAAAATGTCTGTATGTAATAACAATCCTTTTTTCACCACTTTTAAAAAAATATATAATAAAAATAAAAAATTTTAAGAAAATAGATAATAAACTATCTTTAACAAATGATAATTGAATTATATCTAACAATGGATTTGTAACCTTATATGAATAATGTATTCGAATTAAAGGTTTTAATTGTTAATTATTTTTGCATCACAAAAAATATTGAATAGTTACCCTTGAGTAAGGTATTTAGTTACCGTCAAATGTCTATGCTACCAAATTTTTGGTGGTTGCATTTATCATAGATGAAAAAGTTTCAGTTGGAAAAAATAGTTTGTGAAAAAAAAAATCAAAATCAAAACTGTTTACAAACAATTTCAACTCATTCATCCTCTTCATCAATACAATTTTACCCCTTTCATCTCAAACCAAAAGTCAAAAATCATACATCAACAAAATCAAAACTGTTTGTTGTTCTAAAAAAACAAAACTTTTTACAAACATGCATAAACTTCTATCAATTATCAAATGAAGCTTCGTCAATATAGTGTGTGAATCAAACATAAATATGTATAAGAAAAGATTGAGATACGAGACACTACAGTGACGCAAAAATGATGGATTATTCTTGATATTGGCGGTCAAGTATGGAAAACAACACCTCTGCCATAAAAGAAGTACATGGAAGGTTTACAGATTCGGTGTATCAGGTACGCAGATGATTTAAGTTGGATTCTTATCAAATAAATAAGCATGGAATCTTTTTATTTTAATTATGTATTATTGATATTACTTGATTAAGATTCTTGAAGTCGTTTACTGGATGATGTATATTATATTATGAGAGGTAAAATAGTAGTTTGTTAGGGTGGTTATAAGAAGGCGGAATTTGATGGAAATAAGGATATTATACACGGAGAAAGACTATGTTATTACTTATTGACAATCTTTCATTTAATCTTGAACATATAATGTAGAGTATTAAATGGCAATTTCATATTATGATTTAAAATACATGAATTGGTTGAAATGTATTTTTCTAGTATAATTTACTATTTAATTAACTATAAAACCTTCTTGTTTACAAGCCATGTGTTCCTACAAATAACAAAACACAAAGATAATTACGATGAGTCGTTTTTAAAAAAATGTATAAATAACTTGGTTTATATTAAGTATATGTTTCACTTACATTTTTTTTATTCTACGTATATTTTCATTGTACATTGAATACCATAATCAGGACCGATTTTAATTTGTGGATTTATAAACTCCTATAAATAAAATATAGTCATTTACAGTTTTGGCCCTTCTGTTGGCACTCTTTTACAGTTTTAGTCTTTGATTTGAAAATTTAGCATCGACAATCCTCATGATTTCATAATTCATCACGTTTGGTCATTTGTTGTAACCTTCTACCCAAATCCATTAACCAATAATAAAATGAACATTTTACCTTTATTTTTTTATTTTTTTATATTATTTAAGCTTTAAGGACCAATTTTATAAAAAAAAAAAATAAAGACCCTAAACCCTCATCCTTCACCAATTCACCTCACCCTATTTTTCTCTCCCACTCTGTAATGGTCAGCCACCTTTGCATCCCCACTGATAACTATAACCCCTGTCGTGAAATAATGTCCAAAGTCATTAACTAGTTAGTAATATTTTTGAATAATAACAGGTTCTTTTTGGGGTGGCCTTATGACACAAATAACTAAAATGAAATAGAGAAAATAAATTAGTAATTTATTTGGAAATTAATAAATTAATTAGAAATTATTTTGATAATTAATTAATTAAAGGTCTTGAGTATTAATTAATCCAAAAATATTAACTGAAATATGCCAGAAACTCCTGAAAAGTTGATATGGATGATTTATGCATGTCTTTGGATATGACATGTTTTAAATAAGGTAAGAATAATCTTTAAGAGTTTGAAACCCTAAAGGATTTATCTACTACCAATATATAGAGGGTTTTGGATTAAACCCTAAAATACTTTTTAGAGCCTCTAATTTCGTTATCCTCTCTCTCTCTCTTTCTTCTCGATATACAAAAACCATAACCCCTCTCTAGGGTTATGGGACTTTCACATAAACCTTAATAAGGTTATTCCTTGTTTGTTTTTGGAGTCTTGGGTCTAACTACATTAGAGGAGTTTTCCTTTGAGCTCTTCATCCTTTGCAAGAGATGTCCATCACATGATTTAAGGATCAAGAGGTAAATAATTTATCCTTTTTTAGGTTGATTTTAAAGACAAAATTGCACAAATGGTCCCTGTGGTTAGCTGAAAATTGTCACTTTTGTCCAAAAAAGTTTGGACTAGCACCAGAGATCCAATCTTTTCATTTTGTTGCGACTTTAGTCCAATTTGGATTGAACTTTTTTATAAAGACGATTTTGCCCCTTATTATTTATTTTTCCATTTTTCTTTTATTACCAGCAATTCAAAAGAAATTAAAAATGAAACAAAAATAAAATCTCTCTCTCTCTCCCTCCCTCCCTCCCTCTCTATCTCTCTATCTCTCGTCAGCAACCATAACACACACATTTATTGGTTTGTTCTTCAACATTCAAGAACATACATACACATACCCACATAATTATCTTTCTCTTTAACCAGAGAACTTTCAATCACCTTGTTGTTTCTCAATCAAGAACACCCCATCTCCCAATCACTCAGATTTTTTTTAAAAGACTCAGTTCTAAAGTAACCCCCAACTTAGATCCTAAAATTTCAACTATCCCTTGCATTTGATACAAAACATGCCTCTAATCTTTCTCCATACACTCCAATGTACGATAGCACCAAGACCATCATCAAGTGGTTGCTAAGTTGTGTGGTCTGGCTGTTTTGGGGTTGAGGTGATTAGTCTGAATCAAGTCGTTTTTGGCAGTCAAAAGAATGTGGGGAACAAGGTAGAAGAATGTGAGGCTTTGGAAGAGAAGACTGAAAGATCAGTGATGGTAAAGCCACAATAGGAGCTTAAAATCGGAGACTTGAAGTTGGGAGAACAAATTGTGGTCAGTTTGAGGCTCCGATCGGATCTTTCCCCTTCATCTATCTATATCTATCTCCTTCTCTTGTTGTCACCCTTATCGTTTCATAAAACCCTAACCCGTCGCCCTTCTCATTTCAAGATCTGTAAGAACGAGTCTAGATGCTTTACCTCTCTTCCAATCAACTCCGTACATACAACCATCAGACCAAAAATACTTCCTAGATCCGTGAGGCACGTTACCGGAAAAGCTTCCGATGTATAGATCCCCGTTCTGGAGGTGTTTCTCTGTAGTCGCCAAACTAATGGTTTGGGCTCCATTTCTTTTTCAGATTTCTTCTTTGTTGCAAAAGTATTGTCATTATCTTCATTGGAAGACAGAGAGGATGATGCTAATGGTTCCAACATGATTTTGAAATGGGTATCTGTTGAATCCCTTTACTATAAAAGAAAATTTCAAGACATGAACCCTGCTAGAAGCATTCCGCTGTGAATCTCTCAATTTGTTAAGTTGGGTTTACCTCTAATTGAAAAAACAGAATATTGGGGTAGGGAGGAATAGTGGTGATAGAGATTAAAGAGATGAAAATCTCTAAAACTAAAAAGTAAAGGGGGGGGGGGGGGGGGAGAGAGAAAGAGATTTTATTTTTGTTTTATTTTTAATTGCTGGTAATAAACGAAAAATGGAAAAATAAATAACAATGGGCAAAATCGTCTTTATAAAAAAGTTCAATCCAAATTGGACCAAAACCGCAACAAAATGAAAAGATTGGACCTCTGGTACTAGTCCAAACTTTTTTGGACCAAAATGGCAATTTTCAGCTAACCACAGGGACCATTTATGCAGTTTTGTCGATTTTAAAGTATATTGCAAAAAATACTAAAAATCAGAAGATGAAAATGGGGGCCAAATAGTCAATTTACTTGGGACTTAATGAAGCCTTCTTTCAAAACAACAACTATCAAATAATCAAATCCATTTAAAAACCTATAATATAAATAACTTTAAACAAACTCCATAATAATATCTAAACAAAAATCACAAAACCATTGGTAACAAACAACTACAACTCAAGTCATATATATATACACATCTTTTACCATTTCCAAACCCTATTTCTCATTCTTCTTAAACTTCTTCAAAGAATCAAACACCGATGAGCTTTTTTCTTTTTCTTGATTGTTTAAAGATTTCACAAACGGATTTGTTGACCTTTGTTGACTCACCTCCCCATTACTCTTCTTCACTAAACCTTTACTTTCCAATTTTGTATCTTTCAATTCCACCACTTTCCCAATTTTAGTTGTTGAATTTTCTGTTGCTTTTTTCTTCACAAAAGAAGGCGAAGTAAGTTGTACTTCATTCACACATTCTGTAGCTTTCACAATTTCTGGTGATATGAATGTTTTTGTTGTTGTATTATTAACACAAACAGTCTCTGTTTTAGTCTCTATTGCTTCTTCTTTAAGCAACCTTTCCTGAAAAAATAACAAAAAATTTAAACATTTCTAAAATTGGATTTAATTTAAATAACTAATTGAAGAATTGATGGAATACCTCCAATATGGTGTTGAATCTTTCTGCTAAATTTGGTAGTTTTAAAGCTGTGACAAGCTTTATTGCACCTCTAACAGATTTCTCTAGTGAAAGAAGCTTAACAAGTTCTATAGCTCTCACAAGTTTATCACCTAACAATATAAAACATAATAAATAAATAAATAAATAATAAGTTTTAAGACAAAAAAAAAAAAAGTAGAATTTAGAAATTATAACTCACCATTACAACAGGAAGCAATGAGTCTTAAGATGCATCGATCTAAAGCTGCTTCAATATTAAAGGCTTCATCTTCAAGTGAAGCTGTATCATCATCTCCCATTGCTTCTTTTTCTTCAATCTTTCTTTGAATCTGTAATAAAATTAAAAATTATTATTTATAACAAGAAAAATAAAGAGTTTAATATTTAATATTTATATCTACCTGGGAGAGATGCATGTTGCTAATAATGAACTCATTTTCAAGAGCTTCAGCTCCCAAATCAGATGATGCAAGAGGAATTGAAAGATCTAATAGTGTAAGAACTGGTTTAGGAACAGCCTGAGTAATAAAATAAAATATTAATTTCAAAACATAAACATGAAAAATGTAATTTTTTATTTTTTATTTTTTATTTTTTGTGTTTTGGTGTTGATTATTATATTACCTGTGGGAATTTATCAGGGGATTTGCATAAAACGCAAAATAAATTGGTTTTATTTAATCCAACAACCCAATAGCTTTCATCTTTCTTCTTTAATTTACTTGCACTATGTAAAAGAACAATATTAGTAAAGAATAAAAATTGTTAAAAAGAAATATTTTTTTAAAAAAAATGGAAGGATTGTTTACCTAAAGAGTGGAAACCAGCTGCCTCCATACTGATTACTGAATACACGAAGAACACCCTGCATGTATAAATAAAATTAAGTTATTTATAATTCCCACATAAATTATATTTTGGGATAAATGCAAGAAATATCAATGTACTTTGATTGATTTCCTAATACAAAATTGTATTTGAAGAATATTTTGAAAAGTGTGATGTTTTAATAAGGAAAAAAAATGAAAGATAGTTGTTATAGTTATAACTTATAAGGGTTAATCTCATAAAAAAAACCTTAAATTTTGTGTTTTTTTCTGGATTAAACCTTAACTTTATTTTTTACATGAAAAAAAGACGTTATGTTTTTTCGTTTTTTCTGAAAAAACCCTCAACTTTGTCTTTTTTTCTGAAAAAAACCCTCAATCTTCTAAATGTTTCCAAATAAATCCTCAACTTTTTTAGTTTTTCCTGAAAAAGCCCTCACATTTTACAACTTTTTTGGGTTAATCTCATAAAAGACCTAAAATTTATTTTTTTCATGAAAAAGACCATGCATTTTATCATTTTTTTCCGATCCGGCCGTTTTAGTCATTTTTCTCCAAAAAAAAGTTGTAAAATGTGAGGGTTTTTTTAGGAAAAACTTAAAAAGTTGAGAATTTATTAGGAAACATTTAGAAGGTTGAGAGGTTTTTTCGAAAAGAGAGAGAGAGAGAGAGAGAGAGAGAGAAATTTGAGGGTTTTTTCGAAAAGAAAATGAAAAAATCTAAGCTCTTTTTCATGAAAAAAATAAAGTTGAGGTTTAATCCGGAAAAAAACACAAAATATATATGTTTTATTTATGAGATTAACCCTAGTTATAAATTATAATACAAAAATGAAATGAAAGTATGTTGCTATTTCTTGCATTTAGCAACAATATTTTAGTGGATTGAGGAATAAATACCATGGAGTCAAATGAAGTTAGTTGACCTTCTTCACTAAAACCAAACCATGTTAAAATGGATCCAGGAGTCAATGCCAACTTTCCTCTAATAGCTTGTGTTCCATTGGGAACATTCAATACTCTAAACTCTAGCATCTGCAAATGTCACAAAAACAAATTAAAGATTATAATTCAAAATGAAAAATAAAAAAGAAAAGATTATGATGAATTTAAAAATAAAAATAAAAAAAGGCATACTTGTTCATTTGAAGGGAGAGAGGGAGAAGAATGTGTGACAACTGCAAGCTCATCCCCAAACCCTGATGCAGTTACTACAGGCCCATCAAGAGAAACAACATGCCTCTGCAAAAAAAAAAATGTATTTAATCAATTCACAAAACAAAATAAAAAAAATAAAAATAAAAATAAAAACCTGTAATCCACCATCTGTGTAAATACGAAGGAAATTCAAACTTGTAACAGCAGCAACCCATGAAGTGCCAAGTGCTACTGCTTTTACTTCTTCTTCTTCAAATCTCATAGACCACTAAAAACAAAAATAAAATATTTTACAAGTCTTGAATTATTATGTCATGTTTTTTAAAGATAATGAAAAAAAGTAAGATAGAATATGAACTAACCTCACTATTATTTGCCCAACTTCTAAAGGGTCTATACATGAGAGTGCTCATGTTTTTTTCACCTTTACATGGATTTGCAAAAACACTTCCATTTTCATTCAATGAAGCCATTGTGAAACCAAAGTAATCTGTCATTGCTGGAACTCGTGGGCCCCTACCAGTGTCATGAAAATCAATCTGCAACCATAATATAATAATATATATAAATAAAAGGGCTAATCTCATAAAAGACCTTGTGTTTTTTCGCTTTTTCCAAAAAAGCCCTTGACTTTGTATTTTTTTTTTCGAAAAAAAAAAGTCATCCTTCTAAATGCTTCCGAATGAACACTCATCTTCTTTGGTTTTTCTCGAAAAAACCCTCACATTGAACAAATTTTTTGAAAAAAAATTAGTTAATCTCATAAAAAACCTTACATTTTGTGTTTTTACAAGATTAAACCTCAAATTTATTTTTTACCCAAAAAAGACCTTGTATTTTTTTAATTTTTCCAAAAAAATCCCTCAACCTTCTAAATGCTTCCAAATAAACCCTCACATTTTATGAAGTTTTTGGAAAAAAATTACTAAAAAGGCCAGATCGAAAATTTGAAAAATACAAGGTCTTTTTCAAGCAAAAATAAATTTGAAGTTTAATCCAGAAAAACACAAAATATAAGGTCTTTTATGAGATGTTTTAAACTAGAAGTATAAATTGGGACATTTATGTGTTAATTACTTTGTTTGAAAAAAATAAAATGTTCCCATATCACCAATCACTACATATTAAGATGAAAATGAATACCTCAATGTGAGAGTATCCATCATGCTCCATTGTTGTTATACTTCCAAGCATATTATAGCATAAAAATCGCCTTTTTCCAGATTGGACAGGTGTCACACCAGGCTGAAAAGCTTCCTGCATTTTTGGTCCTGTAATCATCACCACATCTGTTGTTGTCCCCTTCCCATTTTTCATGTTTGCCACGTCAGCAGTTGAACGTTTTTTATTCGATTCAACTTTTGGAAGCAAACTCATATCATTAATATCATCATCTGAATCTTCATCATATTTGAAATTCCTCAATCTTTTTCTTGTAGGTTGTTCAGAATTCATAAAGCTATCTTCTTCTTCACCATGATCACTCATACTTCCAGATGTACTAATCTCTTTTTCTTCTTCATCAAAGAAAAGTAAACCATCACTTTTCTTTGAATCCAAAGTGGGCCCCCCTTCTGTAGGTGATGTCATGGATGATGGAACAACAGAGTCCCAAACACCATACTTTCCCATAACATCAATAACAGCTAAAGCATTCCCATGTGGCTTCCATGTCATAGAAGATATCACTTCTTCAAACTTTTGTCTTTCAATGTCTTGTTTCTTAACAACATCCCATATCAAAACCTGTTTATCTAAGCCAGATGTGGAAATGTACTTTCCATTAAGTGAAAAAGCCAAGAAACACACAGGTTGTGTGTGTTCACCTCTTAATGTGAAAAGTTTTTCAGCTGTGTCTCTATCATACATGATAACATCGTTTTTTAAACCAGAAACAGCTAGCATTTCGCCATCTGGACTCCAGGAGAGTGCAGATAATGTTGTGAAATCTGGAGGGGTATTATGGGAAATGTTTTTTAGAGTGTGGAGTGTTGTACCGGATTGAAGCTCCCAGATTATAACAGTTCCAAATGAATCCACAGATGCTAAGTATTCACTTTTGGGATCAAAAGATATGGATGTGATGGATCCTCTGTGTCCTTTTAAAACCCTTGCAACTGATCCATCTATTGTGTTGATAAGTTTGATGCCATCATCATCACCACCAGCTGCTAACATGGTACCTGATCTGTTGAAAGATAAGGCACGAATAGGCAATGTGAATCTGGTAATATTTGATTCGAATTCTCCACCTGGTAAAAAGGCCATCAAGATGGTTGAAAGTTAGTGATATTTCCGATAAATCATAAATTAGTTACAGAATTAAGCAGTAACTAGTTTGTTCAATTTTTCTCTTCAGTATCAATGTCCAAACATCGGTCCATTTATTCATCAAAGACTCACGAAATATGTATATGTGATCGAAGAAAAAAAAACATGTTCTAACTATTTTCGTTAGAAATGCCAATGTCAAAATCTACAATCAACACTAATTAAACCAAATTGCTTGTATATAAGCATCAGTAACAGTCGGTATATTGGCAATCCACGAGCATACATAAATAAGAAAAAGAGGAGAGGAAAAAGATTACCAGGGAACTTATATAGCTTGACGGAGCGGTCACTAGATCCAGAAGCTAGGCATGAGGAATTAGGGCTGAGGGCCAAAGTGGTGACACCATCTCTATGATTACGAAGAAATCGTGGCGTATTTGAAGGTAAAAGAGCATCGTGGATTGAAATGGAGGCGTCGGAAGAAGAAGCAGTAACGATGTGCTCGGCAGTGAGGTCCCACAGGATGGTACAGTAGGAGCTTACACCATTGTTCTTGTGAGCCTCCCGCAGCTTCATTGATCTGATTTTCATGGTTGATTTTGGGGATCTTCTTAGGATGCGTGAGCAGTATGTGAGAGCTCTTATTGATTCTTGATGTCCACAGTGTGGATGGCGTTGTTTGGTTAGGGCTCGAAATGGGATCAGAACTTCAGAAGTATATAAGTTTTGGCGGGAATGTTTGGGAAATTTTGGGCCGTTTCGCGGCAGAGTTTATATATCTCCCGCTATGGTCGAACCCGACAAATGGGTTGACCCGTTACTCACCCGTTACCCCATCAATTCCAACCACATAGACTTTTGACTGATCTATTTATTGTTTTTTAATATGAAAATCTATTATTTTTATTTTATTTTTCAAAAAAAAACATTTATACTTATGTAGGAAAGGCATGTATATATTTAAAAAAATTCAAAACCATCCTTTTTTAGAAAAATAATTTTTAGTGATGCAACGAATTTTATAGCCATTGCATATAATTTGTTAACCACATATTTTATATTCTCTTCAATCAAAGACTTCTTATATACATCATGTTGATTTTCCAATAAATCTTTGGAGTTATAGTGTTTTTACATCTACATACATCATTGTTAATAGACTTTCATCCCCATATTTAAACCTCAATAATTCAATATACATCATGAATTCATGATGAGTACCTTTACAATATCGTTATATCATACACTCATATCAAAATCATTGGAAAACACATAAATTGCCATCAAGTGGAATTTGGAAAACACACCTCCCAAACATATTTAGAATTTTGCCACCAATGTGTAAAACAGATAAACTAAATAGGGTACACAAATGGAAACTCATGTAATGTATGTACATAATATAGTGTGACACACCAAACATGTAAGGTAAATGGCATTGTAACCTAGAAGAAATGCAAGTTATATCAAGATGGTGGCGATTGCTGTGATGCTCCTATAATGTATGGAGGTACCTTGTCATGTACCTTGTCATGTATACTCGCGGTTGAACCATCGCTAACTATATAGCAATATTGGACCGTCAAATTGTGCATGGGAAGGGAAACATACGAATCAAAAGGCATTAAAAACATAGTCAACCTAATACATGCATAATAAAATGTAGCAAATGAACAAAAGATAATATGAATGCCCAAACTAGGACAAGTATAAAAACATATATTCTATGATGTCTATTGAGTAACATACTCTATTTAGGGCTGTACTTTTTTGGGTAAATTTAAAATTTTAAAATTAATAGATTATTAATAATAAATAGAATACTAAGTAAAATAAATAAATGAATTGAATAACAATATTCATGATTATTAAGGGTTTAGTTTAAATAAAGAGTAAATTACATGAACCGTCCCTCGTGCATGTTCCAAAAGGCACGTTCGGTCCCAATTTACAAAAATTAACTCGGACAATCCATTATATCGTAAAAAGGTGTACAGTTGTACGTTTCATCAATCGTTAGTTTAAATGTGCATGTTTCGTCCGTTGTGAGACATGAAATGACTAAAGTGTCATTTGTAGTTTTTTTTCTTTTTTATATTATATTATATATATATATATATGTGTGTGTGTGTGTGTGTGTGTGTCTTTTGTTGAAGAACACTTAACCACCACCATCATTGAGAGTTTGCACAACCACCACCGAAACATTTGAACCACCATCGGAAAATCTATAAAACAACCACCGGTTTCCTTGAAAATAACCACAAACCACCACCTCCTTCACCATTGTCACCCTCATATACAAACAGGCGGTAACCACCCCTTCGAACACCATTTGTCACCACTTCATCATCAATACTGCAAACCTCCATTAACCACCCTCTATCTCTCTCTCACAATTTTGGTGAGCACCACACACCACTGAAAACCACTAAACTTCATTTTCTCCCTTTTTACCATCTAAACCTATCGGAGGATCTAACCTTTTGTTGTAGCGCATATATGAACGGTAAGGTATAAGGTTAGGGAGGAGTTTATATATGCTACCCTCGAGCCGGAGTGCAAATTTGCTACCCTCTCGCCGAAAAATGAAAGGTTGTTAGGATTTGGTGCAGCGATGTTGGTGCGCATGTGGCGATGGTAGTTTGCATGTCTGCATATTTGTGATGTTGGTGTATAGGTGGCGAACGGAGAAAAGATAAGAGAGGCATAGATGGAGCGTTGGTATTCATCCAATTTGAATCTTATTTCTTCTCCTGCGACCTGTAGTTTCTCGGTCTTCTTCTCCGACTCAGGTTTGGGATTCGAATTTTGAGGTTTGATTTTCAAAAATGGTGGTCAGTGGTGGTGGTCCGTTGACCTGGTTTCAGGGAAGGTAGAAGGAAAGAGGAAATGGAAGGAGAGGGTGGGTTGGTGGTGGGGTATTTAGTTTCTTTTATTTTTTTAATCTAAGAATGATAAATAAATAATAGAAAACTAAAAGCAAAAATATTAAGGACAAAAAAGTTATTTTATGTATGTGGGGAGGGTCCGAGATAATTTTTGAAAATAGGGACTAAACGTGTCTTTTGGTACCTTCACGAGGATGATTCATGTAATTTATTCTTAAATAGAATAACCAAATTTGGTTTAATATGGAAAATATAGATGAGAGACAAAAAGTAACGATTGGACCAGAGTTGGATTGGCTGGTTATGATTTAGTCATAAATGATATTTGGTAATTTAGGACTCAAGTGTACTTAAGATACTAGGTATAATGGCGGTTGAATTACAAGAAAGGAAAGTAGGACGAATACATATTTTCGTGAACAAAGTGAGAATATATTAATCATTCTGTCCACCTCATTTCTTCCCCACAATCAATTCTGAGAGGGAAAATGGAGATGATGGTGATTTTCACGAAGAATATGAAGATCTAGGCTAAAACTTGAAGAATAAGTGAATAAGTGATGTTAGGAACTCATCCTTATGAGTTTGAAAGTAAATTAGGGGTCTTTCGGACCATTTTCGGAATACGGTTTTCATCTTGAATTGTTGCGGTTAGAATTATCTATGGTGTTCACTCTTCCGTAGGGTTGTAGTGTTCCTCACCAGAGGAGCTAGCTGACATCCATGTTTAGGAAGGTAGCCTTCAGTTTCAGATTGCTAGTTTTAGAAGATCTATACCGATGAATTTTTGGGTTTTGGGTGGTTTCGCAAGGATCTATATTTTGTTTCCTGATTGACGTTTTGTTGTTTCGAGTTGTTGGGAAACAACGTTTAGGCCAATGGGGTAATCTCAACTTAGGTACAATGGTGAGTGAGGATGGATAATCCATATAGAAATGGTGTGCGTTATATCTAGAATGTTTTGCAAGGCGGATTTTAAAGATAAAATACAGATAAATAGGGGGAGAGTTGTAATGCCCTTTTTTTTGGTTGCATGTCATTAGTATTATGGAGGAAATGAGTTAGATGGTTTTGAAAAAAACCATAGTTAGCGGCGCGAGTCTTGAAGGACATGGTGTGTGACATATTAACAAGTCGTGATGCAAATTAAGTGAATGTCGTGGCGCGAAGCCGTGGATCTTCGACCTTAGGCCATATTTAAGGAACCTTATATCTATGGTTTGCTCTATCTTTCAGCACCCATCCTCATATAACGTCTCTCACCAAACTTTATCCTTTATTGTTGAGTTTTGAGCTTTTGGTGCATTCTTGAAGTTGAAGGAGGTGATTATTATTTATTGGTGCATAGAAGCTTTGCTCTAGCTTAGATCAAGCAATATCAACACTCTTCTGGACCTTTGTGAGTATAAAGTTCCAACCTTAATCTTGCTTCGTTAAGATCTTGTATTTGGTTGTTGTTTTGGTCCATTATTGTTGTATTTCTTGTGTTCTTGGAGTTTGGAGAACTCCATAACCATTTAAACGATTTGGACTTCTTTCCGGACCTATTGGAGTTGGAAAAATGGAAGTTCTTGCATCCCCATTAAGCCATGCATGAGTTTTTGGTCTTTAAAGTCCTATTTTAAGTTAGGGTTTGGGATAATGCTTGTTTGAGTCATCTAAATGGATAAAGTTGGAAACTTTATCCATTAAGCCTACGAGGAGTTTTAGATTTGAAATATTGGGTCTATGGACGTAAGGGATTAAGACTCTAAATGAAAGTTGATTCAGACGCTAGTTCTTGGCGCAACCTTTTGGATGGTCATGAAGTGCATATAGAAGAAATCACGAGTATTTTGTCGCCTAGTGGTAGCGATGCGACCAAGGGTTGGTCGTGACGCTTTGACTTTTAACTATTGACTTTGACCAATTTGACTTTTAGTCAAACTTTGTTGGGAATGAGTATTTGACTAAGGATTAGTATTGGATTGATATTAGGTGGTAGGTGTTAACAATTCGTTGCAAAGCATGTTGTTGAGATTTTGTTGTTTGGCTCAAGTGAGTTTTCTTACTATATTACTTATGTCATAATTGGATCCTCTGTGTGTTGGATGCCTATTTAATGTTGCGAAATGATCATATGCTTAACTAGACTATAAGGGTCTTGCTTGTTTGCTTGTATGTTTATATGCTATGATGGGATGATGATAAGATTGAATAGACCGTGATTCAAACAATCCATGTTTGGATGATGACAAGATCGGAGAGGTCGTGAGTCAAAACGTCTTGGTCAGGATGATGGCAAGAACGGAGAAGTCGTGAGCAGGATAAGCCCGTTATTGATATGTATAGTCATTTTGTAGTGTTTGTGATATTTTGAGGGCTTACTAAGCTTTGTGCTTATAGTTGTGAATTAAATATTTTCATGTTGTTATTATTATTATTATTATTATTATTATTATTATTATTATTATTATTTTCAAAAATAACCACATGTTTTTAAGTTTGATTTGTGTAATTACATTTTGACATGTGAAAATGTCAAAACAATGTCCTTTTGAAAAAAAAAGCTGAAAGTATAAAAAAAATAAATAAATACAAAACTGTAAGATTGGTCCATGTGGTATTCAAAAATTTTTGGGTAGAGTCCAAAAAGTTTTCAACTTGCATGGAAGATCCAAAATCAAAGTTTTCTGGGTTTTTGGTCCCTCATACACTTGAAAAGTCGATTTTGCCATTTTCATTTCTTTTTTCTATTTTATTTATTTTTTTGGTATTTAAATAATTTAAAATAAAAAATAAAATCTCTCTCTCTCTCTCTCTCTTCCTGAACCAACACGCCA